CCAACACACACTCCCTGTATCTCTGTGAGTGTGTGTGAGAGAGAAAGGCAGGGGAGGAGGTTGGGTAGCTGATTTCCAATAAGTAACCCAGCAAACCTCTCCTGACTTCAGGCACACATTTCCAGCCCCCTGGTTTTGCATCCTGTGTGCCCTTGGACGGCGTGGAAAGTTATTGCATGCCTGAAGCCAAAAGGAGTCTGGAAAATGATGGGAAAGAGTGGTTTTGCAAAAGCAGACTTGCTGTTGATGTCTGCTGAAAGTCTTCTTCCCAGTTACTCAGGCTCCAAGGAAATCCAGATTGATTTGCTGGAGAGTGGGGCCAGAGAATGGAGCATCAAAAAGAACAAACTTCCCCAGGCTTCCCATACACAGACACAGTGTATGTCTTTTTATCAGGGTCATAGTCAGACTTGTTTTCCTCCCAGCATACAGACATTTGCAGGATGGTAACCTGCAACATAATGTGTTCTATGTTCTGTCCTTGTGAATGATTGGGGTTTTTTTGCTTACAGTCACATGCGGAGGGAGAACAGGAAGTTGGAAGAGAGAAATAAAAAGAAGGGAATTGCGAAATGGGTGGTAGCAAGGTAAAGGTTTAGCAAGACAAAAAGGCAAGAATGTGAATGTGAAGGGAAAGGGGAGAAGGAGACAGAATTTTTAAAAAAGCATGCTAGGCTGAGGAACAGGTATACTGTGGAACATATGTTACTCAGCTCTCCCTTAGAGAGTCAAAAAGAGTCAATCCCTACTGAACAAGGGGTGGAGAGAGGACAATGTTTATATTGTACACTCCTTATCACTTATGCTGAGGAATTATTGTTTCTGTCTTTTTTCTTCACAGCAGATAACTGGAAGAAGAGCAATGCATACACCAAATGCAGTAAGCATTTTGGGCACAATGGGGGTCTTCCTAGACACCAGCAAACCCACAACGAAGACAGAGGTTCAGCTAGAGAAAAGCCCTACACATGCAATGTATATGGAGAGAAGCCACACCAGTGCCAAGAGTGCGGGAAACGTTTTGCCTATAGTTCAGCCTTGGTGAGGCATAAAAGACTCCACACAGGAGAGAAGCCATACCAATGCAAGGAGTGTGGGAAACGTTTCGCCTACGGTTCAGCATTGGTAAGCCACAAGACACTCCACACAGGAGAGAAGCAATACCAGTGCCAGGAGTGTGGGAAATGTTTTGCTTACAGTTCAGCTTTGGTGAGGCACAAAAAACTACACACAGGTGAGAAGCCATACCAATGCCAGCAGTGTGGGAAATGTTTTGCTGACAGTTCAACCTTGTTGAGCCACAAAAGACTCCACACAGGAGAGAAGCCATACCAATGCCAGGAGTGTGGGAAATGTTTTGC